GACTGTATGCTAGGAGTAAAAGATTTGTGTGACAAAACTGATTCACAAGATTTTCTTGTTGGACGATCAAAATTGATTTTAACTGTGCCGTCAAAATATTGTTCAAGTTTGTGGATGATTTTCTGGGTTTTGGATGGATTTAGGTATGTATGGTGGTGCGGCAAGGGTTGATGGTGGTGTATGGAGGTTGGGATGGAGGTGTGGAAGTAGGGGAATGATGGATGGGTGGTTGCAAGGTCACGGCAAAGGGTGGATGAATGAATGTATGAATGTTGTGTGAAGGGGTGGTGGTCTAAATGGTGCGGCAAGGGCTGTTTATATAGACTAGTTTGGCACACTTAGTGAAGGAAAAGGATTGCCTAATCCTATTGAAAAAGGGTCAATTCAAGGCAGAAATCAAGTGGGATTGGGAATAGGAATTTCGACTAGGAATTAGGGAGTTCTAGAAGGCTAGGTGCGGCACACATGTAGTGATAGGATTAGGTGTTCTAGAAACTGTGTTTAAGGCAGATTCCTAATCCTAAAGGGCCTAGGACATGTGATATAAGAGTAGGAAAAGGATTGTGATTCCTAAACCTACAAGGAATGGTGTTTTGCGGCATTGGTATGGATAAGTCTTCTAGAAACTGAAATAGGTGTTTAGATGTGTAATTGATTCCCCCTAATTAGCTAGGTTTAAGTCCCAATCTGATTTGGATAGGATAGAATAGGATAATGTTAGAGTTAGGATAGGATAAGGTTTCTAGGATAGGATAAGATAAGGTTTGGATAAGGTTGGATAAGGTTCCTTGTTTCTTGCTTCTTCCTTATCTTCATTGGAATAGAACTTCTTCCACCAGATTTGTAGCCTTTCCTAGCTCTTCTTGTCTTCAATTTCGTCCATCCTCTTTGCTCCATGGTTGAGCTATCCAATCCATGCCCAAAAATGCTCCAAATAGCCTCAAAATGCACTTTCTTGCTCCCTTTGCCATTAGAACCTAAAAACATACGAAAATGTCTTAAAATACTAAAACAACTATGAATTAACAACATAAATGCACGAAAACAAGCTAAGTAAGTCGCCTAAATATGCTCCTATCAAATTTCCCCACACTTAGCTTTTGCTAGTCCTCAAGCAAAACGAAATAAACCAAAACAAACAAAACACATTCTAGACCTTCCAACATGTCCCTCAGGGATTTCCAACGAACTTGACACATTAGTGAACATCATTCCCACGGTTTTTAGCTTTCTTTACACTTCAACAAACACTTAACCATAGTTACTATTTATTAGTTCACATATAATCAATTAAAACAATGTTTTGAATGTAGTAACATGCCTTAGAGAATTCCCTCAATTCCTCACTAGAATGCACTCTTTTTTCACACAGATTTTCTAACTTCACACCCTACACTAGGTATATGTGAGAAGATTGATGTAAATATGAAGACTAACACTCACATATCTATATCAAAGAAAGCATTTTCTGGATTTACGATAATGACATGAATATGATCTCATGAATGGAATGCTACTACTTAGAACGAGAACCAGTGATTCCATATGCTCATACCAAATTCAAACTCCACATATTGAACACATAACATCAAGATAGAAGTTGAGGGTTGTAACGAGGCTAAGGTATTGGCTAACAAAGAAAGGTAAGGATAGACAAACGTTCTTAAAGCAATAGTAAGCAAAGTAATGAATTTGACACTTAAACTCACTTCTAATGGCAAAAACCAACTTTTAAACACAAGGGAAGATTCATGCAACATTTAGGGTCAAATTCACTCTTTTGGACCCTTCCTTCAACAACCAACACTTGTGAGTTCATTCTCACTTATTTTTCAACTCCTTTTCTTTCTTTTGAACACTTTTCTATTTTCTTTTGATTTTTCCACGAATTTCTCTTCTTTTTTTTTTTTCTTTTTTCTTTTTTTTTTCTTCGTGCCCTATCATCTTCCCCCACACTTGTTTTCCGCCATATATTGACCAAAGGAGTTCACTCTAAGTCGTGCTTCACTATCCTTTAAGAACCAAGGTATGGAAAGTCCTATTCTAGGCTAGGTGAGGATAATGTGGCTAACAACAAAAATAGGCTTTGAAAAGGCTCAAGAGGGTTAATCCTACAATACATATGAAAAGGGATAGGCTTTTTGGCTCTGGCTTGACTAACAACTTCATCTTATTGTATGTTATGCAATCAATACCCTGCTTTGAATGAAATGGGCATGAGTTTTAGTATTTGGAACTATAATGAAATGCATTCTAAATAGCAACCAAGCAAAGAATGATGAGATCATGCAACGACTTTAGAAAACAAGAAATCACAGATTATACTCTCCAAAGAACGTTATAGGCTCAAGTCTCTCAAGGATGTAGCATTAGTTTGAGTTTCTTCCTTCAAGCATGTTACAAAAACTGATTTTATCTTGGTAATTACATGTGAATTCATAAATTATAACCATAACCAAATGGTTTGTAGGATCTCCACGTCCAAAATTTTCGCAATAACAAAATTTTTTCGCACTTACAACCATAAATTATAACCATAACCAAATGGTTTGTAGGATCTCCACGTCCAAAATTTTCATAAATTACATGTGAATTCATAAATTATAACCATAACCAAATGGTTTGAGTTCAACATAATTTTCGCAATAACAAAATGGTTTGTAGGATTGAATGGTTGTTGGAAAGATCAGATGGGAAGTATTTATTGGAAAACCTTTCCTTCATCAACTCAGTTATTGCCATATTGTTTTCTCTCCATCTCTTAGGCAATTCATCAAACAAATGCAATGCAAACAAATTCTTCTTCACAAATTTACCCACAAGATACCAATTTATCCAACCATATTTATCATTCCGAAATGCACTATAGTTATCAGTCAAAAAAGAAGGAAATATAGCTTCCGAAGTTGTTATAATGAAATGCAAATAGAGAACTACCTTAGCTTCAGTTTTCGTAGTATCAAAGAAGAAGTGCTTACGGAGTAGCTGCGGAGCAGAGGTCATTGTTGAAGCATGAATCACTCTCTTCGATTCCGACAGAGAAACTAAGGTTGCAACAGAATTGTTCGACTGTGGCTTGACGGCCGAAGTTGCCAGTGTGCGCAACATCGATGAAGATGAGAGCAATGGCAGAATGGAATGGTCGTGGATTGTCTACGGAATTCATAGTGGGTTGCCGTCTCCGTTGTGAGGTTTTTGGTGACCGACCTCGATCAATTCAGCTTCCTAGGAACACATCGAGGCTGGATCAGAATCTTCCTCGACGTCGAGAGCCGAGTCACGGCGTAACTGAACAAGGTCACTGTGGATTTCTACGAGTATATGATTCACAGCCTTGTGAATGTCGGTGAGTGTAGAATCCATAGCTTCGCGGATTGCATCACGAATCGCAACATGTATTGAAGCTTCAAATGAGTCGATTGCAGTAGAGAGGCGTGCATCCATGACAGGAAGACGCGTTGGGTGGGCGTACACAGGAGGGAAACCAGGATTCGAGAAGGATGATACCAATGATAAGATCCAAATCTCTAACCCCTTAATCAACCTACAAGTCACAAAGGATAGAGAGGGAGAGGGAAGGGAGAGAGAGAGAGAGAGAGAGCAAAGCTCTTGGGTTGTTTTTTGGTTTTGTATTTCTGTTTGTAAATTCTGATTACCCATTTGAGGGAGTTGGGCTCCTTTTATACAGACTCTACTTCTTATTACGCTAGCTGGCATATTTAACAATTCTTAACAATTCAATTAAAGCATAAACCTCAATTACATTTTGGGTTCATAACAATCTAAAATGGAGTTTACAGAGCTTTTAGCCTCTTGAGACTCTCAAGAGTCAAAAAATAAAAAATAAAAAATAAAAAATAAAAGACGGAGAAATCTGCAGAAATGTAAAAGAAAAAGGTGGGATATTTTCTCAGATCTAGATATGAGCTTTCATTGAAAACATCCCAAAAATTATAAAATCTTTGAACTTTCATGCTCTGTAGAGAAGAGAATGCGAAAAACGATACTAAAAACAAAGCATAAAACCCAGTAAAACCAAATTAAACGATTGGATTTTTGAAATTCTTACACAGAATCTAGAAAAAGTTCAAATTTGCAGCTGGGAAATGTTTTTATGGGCTGCAATTGGTCCCTCACCTCCGTCACCTTCGACAGACCTCTACTGCGGCACCGACAAGGCGCCTACGTTTTGTCGATCCCGGTTAACGACGACGATGACAACGCCCAACTCTCAGTGGAACGAGAGGCCGACAGGCGGCGAGGAGGATAGGGATTCGGGGCATTCTATAGCTCACCTTCGAGCCAATCGTTCTACATTTCAGCAACAGGAGGCGTGTCCTCATTGGACTTGGACTGTTCTTCAGGAACATAAGGAGACGTGGAAAACACAAGAGGCTTACCATGCTCGAGCTCATGGCTGCCAGGATTTTGCAGTTGATGGCCTCAGATTTCTTTCGTAAACTAGAGCTCGTCATAAGCCTTTGGAACTCATCGAGCCTTGGCAGAGTTAACTCGGTCAGCATGCGAGAATCGGGGGTCAACTCCATCGTACCATCCAGCTCAGTAACTCTGTGGTACAATGTTCAACGAGCAAATCGTTTGCACCAGCTTAAAGTTTGCAGATATGATGTTTGTTAAAATGTCTCATTGACAGTCATAGCAGATTATACATGATTTCAAAGTTTTTATGATTTGAAAACAGTTGCTTAAGTTCTGTACCAAGCAAGTTTTATTAGTATAATAATTGTATATGAAAACTTGTTCATAGTCTCGACTTCTACTTTGCAAGTGTGGTATAACCTTCTTTTTGCGTTTACTATGCAGATTTCTCTAAAAGCAAAAGAAAACAAAAAGATTTGCATACTACGTTGTTTTTCTTCATGCGTAGTCTTGATCATGAGTTAAGGTATGACCTATTGTTGAATTTTTTTTTTTTTTTAATTTCATCTGCTTTGAAAAAAAAGAAAAAGAAAAAGGATTCGTATATATTTAACAGATAGAAGAAGCAGACGAATTGGTAAGCTGAAGGTGCCATGGCGATGGAGATAATCACTGCCATTATTCCTACAATAATTGACTTCACAGTTAGACCACTTGGACGGCAAGTGAGTTATGTCATTTTCTACAAAAGCAACCTTAAAGATCTAAGGAGTAGATTGAAGAATTTTGATGCTACCAAACAAACGATGAACCATGCGGTTGAAGAAGTCGAAAGAAAAGTTAATCAAAAAGTGGAAGCTGATGTCTGGAACTGGCAGACAGAAGCGGATCAGATCTCTCGAGAGGCAGAAGCATTATTGGATGATGAAGGCCGTACAGAGATAAGGTGTCTCTATATATGTCCTAACCTGATATCCTATCATCAGCTCAGCAGAAAATCAACTAAATTGGTGAGAAAGATTGAAGAACATGAAAATAAAAAAGAGTTTGCCAGTATTTGTTACAATGCTGCCGTGGAAGACATATCTGCCATAGCCTCTGACGAGTACATGGCCTTTGAATCAAAGACTTCAATGGTGAAGGATATCATTACGAAACTGGAAAAACCTGATATCAACAGGATTGGTGTGTACGGATTAGGGGGCGTTGGGAAGACAACACTTGCCAAAGAGGTTTACAGAAAAGTTGTGGAAGAGAATTTATTTGATGATGTGGTTATAATTCTAAATGTAAAAGAAAAGAAAGACGATGAAACAATTCAAAAGGAAATTACCAAAAAGTTGAGGATGGACGTTGATGAATCCGAGGATATGGGAACAAGGGCAAATCTCCTACGGGCCAGGATAAAAGATGGGAAGACTCTTGTCATTTTAGATGATGTATTGAAAAGAACTAACTTTGAGGTTATGGGACTTGTCGGTGTATCGAACTTGAAGTTATTGTTGACATCTAGAGAAAGAAAAGTTTTATTCTCTGATATGCGTACACAAAAAGAATTTCGACTTGGGTTTTTAACAGAAAAAGAAAGTTGGAGTTTGTTTGAGAAGATGGCAGGTAATGTTGTGAAAAACAACCGTATACTGAAAGAAGCAACCCAACTAGCAAAGAAATGTGGAGGTTTGTCGGTTTTGGTTGTTGCAGTTGCAAGTGCTTTAAGGGATAGTAGTCTGGAGGAATGGAAAGATGCATTGAGAAGTTTCAAAACATTTGACAAGAAGGAATTGAATGAAAAAGCATTCTTGGCTCTAGAGTGGAGTTACAAACAATTGGAGGATCAAGAGCTTCAACAATTGTTCTTGATTTGCGGAATTCTTGCTGGGGGTTCGATGTCTATAAGTCTTTGCAGTGACTTGTTGAAGTATAGTATGGGTTTGGGCTTGATAAAAAATGTTGAGACAGTGGAACAGTCACGGGTTTCATTGAATTTAATGATTAAAAAACTAAAAAATTCTTGCCTATTGTTGGACAGTTATGAAGATGGGACTGTTAGGATGCACGAGCTTGTTCGAGATGCTGCTATCTGGATTGCATCTGATGATCAAAAGGCGTTTTTAAAAGTATATGGAGATGAGGTCAAAGAATGGCCCACTGAGGATTTATGTAACAAGTACACCGCCATCTCCTTGAGGTTTTGCAAAATCCCCAGATTTCCTGAAGTACCTTGGGTATGCCCAGAATTAAAATTGTTGGTCTTGGAGAATGATAATATTGGCGACTCCCAGGAAATCCCAAGCAAATTTTTTGAAGAGATGAAAGAACTCAAAGTGTTGGATGTAACCAGATTCCGTATTCAGTCGCTACCTCCATCTCTTGAATCCCTAAAGCATCTCCACACATTGGGTTTATATGACTGCGACTTGGTAGATATAACTCTTGTTGGACAGCTAACAAACTTGAGAATCCTTAGCGTGATAGAGTCCAGGATTAAAGAGTTGCCTGAACAAATAGGACAATTGACTCGTCTACAATTATTGGATTTGTCCGATTGCTCTGAACTTGTTATGATCTCACCTAATGTTATATCAAGCTTGACAAGACTAGAAGACTTGAGGATGGGAATAAGAAGTTTCAAGCTGTGGGAAGGTGAAGGTTTGGTCGATGGCAGAAAAATTAATGCTAGCGTTTCAGAGCTGAAGCACTTATCTCATCTATCTGCATTGGACATACACATTCCAGATGCTAACCTTCTTCCAACCAACTTGTTGTCCGATAAGTTAGAAAGATACACCATACTTGTTGGTGGTTGTTGGGAATATCCTGTCTTCGATGAAACCTCCTCTAACATGCTAAAACTCAAGCTCACCAGGAGTAATCAATTCGATCGGGGTATAAAGTTGCTGGTAAAGAGATGTGAGCAATTGTACTTGGATGGGGTAGAGATTATGAATATTATTTCCTATCTATTTGACAGTGAAGCTGTTAATCAACTGAAGCATCTCCACGTCCAAAACAACGACGAAGTCACATATGTCATTAACTTCGTTAGTTGGAGTTATTCTCATAATGCCTTCTCTTGCTTGTAATTTCTATCTCTTGAAAACCTTGTGAGTTTGGAAAGCGTATGTTATGGGCAACTCATAAGTGACCATTTTCAAAAGTTAAAATCTTTGACACTACGGAATTTACCAAAGCTTATTGGTTTCTCTTCCAATGGCAAGCAATTAACGAATGATACAAATGCCGACAAAATCGTGTTGGAGGATGAAGTTGGTGGACCACCGAAACTGTTCAGTAATGGGAAGGTACTTTCTCTATCATTTTTATAGCAAAATGGTTGCATGATTCTTTCTCACTATACTTTTCTTCTTCGAATTTCGATCATATAATTCTTTCATGTTTTAAATTAGAAGAATATTAAAGTGGTATAATTTTCATATGTTTTCCTCACACAAAACCATTTAAATGGTATATTAAATTAGGTTTCTTTCGTGTTTTAATTTTCATATGTTTTCCTCCGACAAAGCCATTTAAATGGTATATTAAATCAGGTTCTGATAACCCACAATATTCAATTATTGATATTGAGATTTATTTTCTCATATTGTATGTCATTTCATGTCCATTCCCTCGGCCAAAAAAAATAAAAAAACAAAAAATCAGAGCGCAGCCAAGCGAATTAGAGAATTTGTATCGTTGAAATTTGATACAACGATTGAAGTTATTTTAACTTTTAAAAACAATTTCTGTTTGTAACTGTTGGATCAAATTTCAATGGTAAGGATTTCATGATTTGGTGAATTAGGAGGAAGGGATCCGGCCAAAATTCCTTTCCCCTCTCCCATTCTCCTTCCTCCCCAACGCCACCAATCACCGCCCCCTCCCTCACGGACCACCACCTCTTCAAGCACAGCAGCAGCATCTCCCTTAATGACGTCATTGAGATCTCCAAGGTTATGAGGAACAGATACATGGCCGAAGGCGCTCGCGGGAACGGTGATGTAGATTCTCGGAATCTGCGTCTCGGAAAGGACCCCAAGGATTTGCAATAGGAGATCGTCGTGGTGACGTCGAGATCCCTCTCGATCGACAAGGGTGTAAATTCAACGAATTTTGCACGTAAAAGAAATTTCGGGGGAGACACTCATTATTCACAAATCTGACAGCCCAAAAGGGATTTATTCTTCAATCTTTCCAAATTTGGTGGTCCCCTATTCTTTGCAGCAGCAATTAAATTGAAGGGCGAGGTTTTTGGGTTTGATTTATGGATTTAAAGTGTGAAGGAGATGCAATTGATATTGCTGCTGTTGTGTTTGGGGAAGTGAGAGAGTGAGAGAGAGAGAGAGGAGGATGAGCGGCCCTGAAAATCTAGAATCGAACCGAAAAAATCCTAATTCCAAACCAAAAATTTCCCAAATCGAAATTCCTGAAATTTTGGTACGGAATTCGAGATTGGCTTCTCAATATTTCGAAAATCTCATACCGAACTGAAAATATATGTGATTAATTATTATATATATATATATTTATACATATATATTATATATATTATTCTTTTATAACTGATGCTAGTAGTTTCTAATTCATGCTCTGCAACCTGGAATGCCTTATACCTTGCATGTTTTTCATGTTCTGTTTGATATTCATTTGGATTTTACTATTGCTCCTCTCATGGCAAATGATTTCAGAAGACTTAATTCTTTTGTCTCTCAACAAATTGCCAAAAGAGTTTAATTAATTTGAATTTTGACTCTGATAAAAACAATCAGGCATGCTAGTGTTCGATTAAATGGTAGTGTGAATGAAATGACATTCCTAGTTCATGAATGTGTTCTTGAATTATATATTTGAAGAACAATTCATAATTTCATATTTTAATTTGGGATTCCCGATTTGTCCCGAAATCCTGAGATATTTTCGGGATACGTGAAAATTTGGTTTGGAATTGATCTTCAAATTCCCGTCTCAAAAAATTTCAATTTGAAATTTGGGATGCTAGTTTCGGTTCGGTATCCCATACCAAACCACCTGTAGTTTTTTTTACTCCAATTCGTTCCTTGCTAGTTTATGAAAGTAGAAAGATGTACAGCTGTTTAGTGGCCTAGTAGCTTACTTTTTTAATATATGACCTTTACTTTATATCTATACATTTGGAACATATATGGTTAACAACAATGTAGATTATAATTTTCTAAAATAAACATGAATTTTGTTATGTGCTATGCAGATTTTGATATCCAATTTAACAACCTTGACGGTGCATCAATGTGATAGTTTAAGATTCATGTTTTCGAGCTCCATGGCTAAATGTCTCGGGCAACTCAAACATCTCACGATATCCGAATGTCAAGCACTACAAATGGTATATGACACATCATCTACCACTCAGGTGAATGGTTTTGAGTGCCCAAATCTAAACTTAGTTGACATAGACTCATGTGATAGTTTGAAAAATGTTTTTCCCGCCTCAATGGCCAAAGATCTTAAGCAACTAAGCAAGTTGAAGGTTAGTAATTGTGATTTACTGGAGGAAATTGTCGCGAAGAAAGAAGGACCAGAAACAGCATACGAGGAGTTCGGGTTCCCTAAAGTAACATTTATGGAATTTGGTAATCTGCCCCAACTTCAAAGTTTCTATCCAGGACTACATATTTCTAATTGGCCATCACTCGACATATTAAAGTTCACGAAATGTGGTCGTGTGGAGATTTTTGTTGCTGAATTTTCAACATATCAAGACAAGTTTCAGTTGGGCCACCCAAGAGCAACGGAACAACCTTTCTTTTTAATTGAGAAGGTAACCATACTTGTACACAACTCTTTTGATATTCGAAATTTTATCTATCTTTTGACAAAAAAATAAAAATAATGAAAATCGAAAGACTTACAGCTCTCTTGTAGCCCAGTAGCTTATTTAATATATGACCTTTACTTTATATCTACACATTTGGAACATATACCCCTACAACAATGTAAACAATAATTTTCTAAAATAAAAATGAATTTGTTTCTATTCTATGCAGGTTTCCATGCCCAACTTAACAACCTTGACTGTGCATGGATGTGATAGTTTAAGATTCTTGTTTTCGAGTTCCATGGCTAAATGTCTCGGACAACTCAAACATCTCAAGATATCTAAATGTCAAGCACTACAAATGGTATATGACAAATCATCTACCACCCAGTTGAATGGTTTTAAGTGCTCAAATCTAAACTCAGTTGAGATAGACTCATGTGATAGTTTGGAAAATGTCTTTCCTGCCTCAGTGGCCAAAGATCTTAAGCAGTTAAGCAAGTTGAAGGTTCAGAATTGTGGTTTAATGGAGGAAATTGTTGTGAAGGAAGAAGGACCACAAACGACATACGAGGAGTTCGGGTTCCCTAAAGTAACATCTATGGAATTTGATAATTTGCCCCAACTTCGGAGTTTCTATCTAGGACTACATGTTTCTAATTGGCCATCACTCAACATATTAAAGTTCACGAAATGTGGTCGTGTGGAGATTTTTGCTGCTGAATTTTCAACATATCAAGACAAGTTTGAGTTGGGTCACCCAAGAGCAATGGAACAACCTTTCTTTTTAATTGAGAAGGTAACTGTACTTGTACACAACTCTTTTGATATTCGAAATTTTATCTATCTTTTGACAAAAAATAATAATAATAATGAAAATAATAATGAAAATAGAAAGACTTACAGCTATCTTGTAGCCCAGTAGCTTATTTAACATATGACCTTTACTTTATATCTACACATTTGGAACATATACCGCTACAACAATGTAAACAGTAATTTTCTAAAATAAACATGAATTTTGTTCTATTCTATGCAGGTTTCCATGCCCAACTTAACAACCTTGACTGTGCATGGATGTGATAGTTTAAGATTCTTGTTTTCAAGTTCCATGGCTAAATGTTTCGAACAACTCAAACATCTAAAGATATCTAAATGTCAAGCATTACAAATGGTATATGACAAATCTACCACCCAGTTGAACGGTTCTAAGTGCTCAAATCTAAGCTCAGTTGAGATAGACTCATGTGATATTTTAGAAAATGTCTTTCCTGCCTCAGTGGCCAAAGATCTTAAGCAGCTAAGCAAGTTGAAGGTTCAGAATTGTGGTTTAATGGAGGAAATTGTTGTGAAGGAAGAAGGACCACAAATGACATACGAGGAGTTCAGGTTCCCTAAAGTAACATCTACGGAATTTGATAATCTGCCCCAACTTCGAAGTTTCTATCCAGGACTACATGTTTCTAGTTGGCCATCACTCAACATATTAAGGTTCACGAAATGTGGTGGTGTGGAGATTTTTGCTGTTGAATTTTCAACATATCAAGACAAGTTTGAGTTGGACCGGCCAAGACCAACGAAACAACCCTTCTTTTTAATTGAGAAGGTAACCATATTTTACATAGCTCTTTTGATATTCGAAATTTGATGTGAATTTTGCATACTAGTTAAACATACAATATCAAGTAAATCCATTTATTATGTGAATTTTGCATACTAGTTAAACATACAATATCAAGTAAATACATTTATTATGTGTTGTCCAGTTTTTCAAAAAATTTTAAAGCATGTTCTTATCGTTGATTATATTTCAGGGTAAGTCATTCCTCAACTTGGAATACTTAATGTTGGATAAGAATACAGAGATTTGGTATGAACCGTATGGTCCACTCCCGGCAGAGTTGTTGAGCAAAGTAAAATCAATTTATTTTGCTACTTCACATCCCAAGTCAGATGTTTTCCTTGAGAATTTACAGAATATTGAAATGCTCCGTGTGCTCTCTGCTCCTTGGAAAGAATTATTTGTCCACGACCACCGAGGAAGTAGTAGAGAGGAAAGACATGAAGTTGAGACCCTCCCACGTGTAAAGGTTTTGTGGCTCATCGATATCCCGGAGCTGATACATCTAGGAATGGAAAACTCCCAACCAGGGGGCCCTGTTTTTCCAAACTTGGAAGCTCTAAGCGTTCACAAATGCGGCAGATTAGAGAATCTAGCTTCAACTTTAATATCCTTTCGGAATCTAACCGTTTTCATCATAGGGGATTGTCACGGACTGCAATACTTACTTCATCATTCTGTGGCTAAGAATTTGCAGCAACTCAAGGAGTTGGACGTTATGGCCTGTGAAAGAATGGTAGAAATAGTAGCGAGCAACATAGATGATCCAGAAAATGAGATTACTTTCAGTTGCTTGCAACGTTTAAATCTTTCTGATCTACCAAGACTGCAAGGATTTTGCACGGGAAATTGCATTTTCAAAGTCCCATCCTTACTGCCCAAGGATTTGATTGTCAAGAAGTGCCAGCTGATCATGTTAAAGATTTCTCCTGATGGATTACTTAAGAGATCCACGTCCAGAAAGACTAGAAATAGTAGAGGAAACTGATGATGTACTAATGCTAAGTGATTCAAGGGAGAATGATCGTGATCAAACTGTAAGTACTTCATTCAGTAATTAAGCATCCATTAATTTCACTTTCTGAAGCTTGATCTGTCAAATTAAAAAGCCTGATTTATTCATCTTATTCACAGTTGTTCAGTCAGACTTCATATTGAACGGTTTGTGTGTTTATTTGTAATCGTTAACTAAATGTATATTTATACAGGATCAGTTGATGATTGCGGATTCAAATGTAGATGTTACAATTGCAAGACTTTTTGCCAAAGAGGAATCCTCCTTTTTTGTTCGGCGTGTTAAGGTTTTCCAATTGTGTGCGATTGTTTGTTTGTGTATTATTTTCCTCTTCCTTTTGTTTTTCCTTTTAAAGGAAGAAATATCAACCTCGAGAGTCGACTGGAAGGCACTCTGATCTGTTGGACCACACTACACATTCCACGGAAATCACATTGGTGTGTTCAAGTTTTTAGATGGAGAAAAACTATGCTACTTGGAGTCGATGGAAGTACGCATTGGAGATCCTAGAAACATGTTTCCCTGTTCTCCCCTCAATGGTCTGTGCCCAGCCTTGATTCCCTGGCCGATCTCATCTTGTTTGATATAAGCCTGCAAGCTACAGCCTCAATGGAAAGCTATCCCAGAAACTTGTGCAATTTGGGAAGGCACTAAGGCATATTCCATGTCATGTTATTTTTGTAAAATTATATTAATTTATTTTAATTTAGATTTTAATTAAACTAGTTACTAAGAGTGAAGTTTGGAAATTGGTTATTTAAAATCCATATGCCTTTCGAGGTCACAATTTATATTTTTGAATAGAACTCGATCTCACGAACGCATAGGTGCAAACCGTTCGTGAAACAAAGCTATAACGAAAGAATTATTAACATTTAAAGTTAAAGATATTTTGGTAATTTTCTTCAATTTGGAACGCTCTAGATTTCTGGAGCAAAGATCTAAGAAGCCATGTGTGAGGCTGGGATGGAAGGAAAGAAAAGAAAGAGTAAAAAATGAGAGAGGGGATGGGAGAAGGATCGACAAGAAAGGAAAGAAGGAGGAAAAAGTAGAAAAGCTAATCCTCCTCCTCGTCAAGGTGCTTTCTTTGTCCATTTGATTATTCAATTCATGAATCCCTCACTTACCAGTCTTTGATTCAAAATTTTCCGAACTTTGAATCCCTATTTAAAGTACGTAAGTAGTCTAACGAGGAGGTTAGATGCAGCCATAAAGTGTATGAAAAATTACGATACGATTCAATTCTCGAGTTGTGATTTGCCATATTTTGGAGGCGGGGTATATTTTAGATATAGGTATTTGGCGACATCAAGTGTTAGTCCTGGACGTATGTCGGGATCGGGGCGTGACATTCTCAATGTCTCACGCAACCATCTCTCAGGGGAAATCCCTACAACAATTCTATAAATGGTGAGTGTGGATACCTATGGCTTATCTTATCACAACTTGACAAGTCCAATCCCAAATCATGTCATTTTCCTAAAGGATTTTCTAATGTCTCAAAATCTTAAATCCAACTACATTTCTCAACGACCAAATGGCCACATATGAGAAACCAAAACAGAGCCTTAAAGGGGGGAAGAAGAAAGAAAAAAGAAACAGAAGAAAGGTACTGTTCGACTCCTACAGTAATGATTTACCTTTCGTTTTGGCAAAAGTTTCCCATTTTGTTGGAGGTTTAGGCACAGGCAGCTGTAGAGAACATTGAAAATTTACTAACATTGAAGATCTTCGTGTGCTCTCTGCTCCTTGGAAAGAATTAATTGTCCACGACCACCAAGGAAGTAGTAGAGGGGAAATACATGAAGTTGAGACCCTCCCATATGTAAAGCTTTTGTGGCTCATCGATATGCCAGAGTTGAGACATCTAGAAAAGGAAAACTTCCAACCAGGGGACCCTGTTTTTACAAACTTGGAAGTTCTATGCGTGCACAAATGTGGCAGATTAGAGAATCTAGCTTCAACTTTGATATCCTTTCAGAATCTAACCATTTTGAATATATGGAGTTGTCACGGACTGGAGACAACTATTTGTCATATTCCAAGAACATGATGAGCACCACTCTAATCATGTATGCTTGTATTGACTTGTGTGTTTCGTCATAAAAGTGTGATTATATTTAAAGCTTTGTTTGCTACATTTTCGGTTTTGGTGTTTGGGAAATAATGCTTGTGTGATTTCTGAATTGGTTTTTGGGATGCACCTCAATTTCCATATTTTCTTCACACTCTCTACTAACCTTAATGAAATACTCATTTTATTTCTTCCCATGTTTTGCCTCTTTTCTTTTTTCTTTCTTGTATTTTGCTTCTGTGATACGCGAAAAAGATCATTTCCAACCATCTTCTTAAGAGCATCTCATATACACTGAGCTCCTAACTAGAATTTAAAAAGGACTAGTAGTTACTGCAGCTTTAGCCCGTGCGGTGCTGCAAGAATGTCAAATGAATTCTAAATATTGTTTGTGTGTTAAAATAATGAACTAAACCATAAATGTGCATAAAAGCTCACTGAATATTCAATTCGATGTGATTAGATTCATTTCAAATAAGAACCAAACCAAAAATGCACATAAAAGCTCACTGAATTACCAAATTTGAATAATTTGGGCAATTAGAAAAATCAATTATTTTGGTTATAAATATAGGAGTCTAGGCAAACAGTTAAACCGAGTTAGACTAACATGAGAGCTTAGGGAAAATAGTTTGAAGACTAAACTATGTCATGTGATTCATTAGTTGGCCAACGTTTGTTTTATATTTGTTGTCAAACGTAACACCTATATACATGATACTTGTGGACCATAACATTGCTTTTTATATCATGATGAGGAAGAAAGAATGTCAAGTTTGGTGTATGAAGAATTGTCTAGGGTATAAAGCAATGAACTTCCAAGTGATGCACTCTTGTTAAGTTTGGTGATAGGTTAATGATAGCTCTTCTAGATAAGTATGTTTGCAAGGTAGCACGTCCCTTATTCTGTATGAGGAGGTAAACCATAACAAATGAGAATTGGATGAGCTAATTGAGATGATGTCAACACCCTATGTGGGTGAGTAGGAGATGTATGATTTATATAATCATGTATTACATAAAAGACAATATTATTCCACCCAATATAGGGTGTGCTATTGATATCATTTTCTCTTCCCCTCCTAGCCGCTATATAAAGATGATCTTGGGGAAAGGCGAAAACACACTAGGAGAAACAATTATGTTTGCTCTAAAGAGGAGAGAATAAGCTCTCAACTCTTAGGAATCTTTTTCTCTCTTAGTTTAGCCTCTAGGGTATCACCTTGGCCCTAGGATGCTACTAAGAACTACAACTGTTTCAGAATGCACAAGGTATGTAGGCAATCTAGCTCGGCTAGATGCAACCGAATACTTTCTTTAGTGACACCCTTATTTGTAGTTCATGCAACAATTCGTCGAAACAGGATGGCTCTCTGATCTGTTCCGAATCGAATTCCTTTATATTATTTGCATACATTACCAACAATTTTATTCTCCCTTTTAAAGGAAGAAATATCAACCTAGAGAGTAGACTTGAAGGCTCTCTTATCTGTTGGACCACATAAAACATTCCCAAAAATCACATTGATGTGTCCAAATTTTTGGATGGAGACAACTATGCTACTTGCAGTCGTGCTGTGACTATTAGTCGTAGTTCCAAGACCAAGATGGGCACCACTATAATTGTCAGCAACTACCTTTTCGGATTTAAGCTTGCAAGCTTCTGCCTCAGGGGAGAAGCATAAGTTGTGTGATTCTGTTGGCAAGGTGTCGAGACACTAGATGTTGTACCACTAGATATTGTAGAATTTTTGGAAAGTAACTAGTGTCTTGAAAAACTAAGAAAATACAACAGTGTAGCGATCTTCAGCAAAAGAAGAATATTGTTCTCGAAACCAGTTCCTTTTAGCTAGACAAAGAAGAGTCCATTTGGGATTCATCATAACTCTATAAATGAAGTGTTAGTAAAAATTAGCTTCAGTATCTCTTCGTACTGTCACTTAATATTAATGACATCCTAAATTAATGGCTGTGATATCATCATTGAATGTTGGTGATCTAACGAGTGACCACTTTTTAAACGTTATATAGCTATTTAAAATATATAAATCTATTTGGAGTCACTCTAAATTTTGAATAGTTATTTATGTAATTTTTTTAGGAAGTGTTATTGGCACTCTAAAAATCTCATTCTACACTCCTCACAAGTGTATTTTTCTTTCCTAATATAGAAAATTTGGAGTGTAGAATGAGATTTTGAGAGTGTTAATAACAATTCCCATATTTTTTTTTTTTATATGTTAGGTTTGAAATTTTTTTCTGTAAGGTAGACTGTTAGGAAGGACTAGGCCTGAAAAACGGGTCGTGTTTGCTGTGTTTCGTGTCGTTTTTGTGTAAAACCTATTATCTTAAAAGGTCATGTCGTGTCACACCTGTTATCTTAACGGATCCTTAATAGGTCAGGTCACTTTACCCAATAGGTAAAATGACTTGACCCAGTATGACCCATTAAGAAAAACATTATTCTTTTCCTTAAATTTGCACATACCACATTGCCACATAAATTTTACTTCAAAATATAAAAAACACATTTGTTGTTAAGTACTACATCTACAATTCAAAATAAGAGCCTAATAAAAAAGGACCAATGCACTACTAGTCTACTACAAAATATCAAATGTGCAATGATATGCAAAATGAATGACTTTTTCTTTTCAAAATTGTCAAGCCTTTCTCAGAAGTTATGTTGATGATGTTTTCAATAAGGTTTTTCCACATTAGAACTGTCTTGTGCATAAACCAAGTATAGGAAAACCAAACATTATAAACCATTTAATTTATAAGAAGTTTACCAAAATAATTATAAAAAGAAATAAAACAATAGTATTATACCATATAAAAATATATTACCTCATTTTTTTTCAAATTCTCTAAATTTAATTTAATATATATAGAATTATTATAGTATTTTCAGCGGTAGAAATTTATTAAATTAATATTTTGCTTATCGTGTATCGGGTTACCCACATGTATACTCGAACTAACCCGTTATCTTAACATGTGCTTATCAGGTTATCCGATAACAACCCGATTCATTATCGGGTCGATTTGATAACTTATAAATTTAATATCTTATCATGTCGGATTAACTAATCATGTCAGAAATTGTCCAGCCTATGAAGACCTTACATTGAATTCCGGGGTATTATAGTGATTCAATTTAGAGTGTTTCAGTGACGCTACCGTGTGTGATCACAGAAGGGTCAATGGGGTCAATGGCCCCATATGAGTCAGTGAATCACTAACAGCCGACATTTAATTTATAAAGCTGGAGCTAAAGGTCTGATTCTCCTTAACTTTGTGCAAAGTGGTTCTCCACTCGT